AAGCTACTCAAATTATAAAAAATATATATATATATATATATATATATAAATAAATTCATTCATAATTACAATACCATTCAAAAGTTTGGATCAGTAAGATTTTTTAATATTTTCGAAAGTCTCTTATGCTCACTATGGCTGCATTGTTTTTGGCCAAAAATATAGTGAAAGCAATAATATTATTAAATATTATTACAGTTTAAAATAACTGTTAAAATGTAATTACAATTTTAAAGTGCAGTTTATTTCTGTAATGCAAAGCTGAATTTTCAGCATCATTATTCCAGTCTACAGTGTCACATGATCCTTTAGAAATAATTCTAATATGCTAATTTGGTGATCAAGAAGCATTTCGTATTATCTTTGATGAACAGAAAGTTCAAAACATAGAAATAGAAATGTCTTGTAACATTATAAATGTTTTTCAGTCACCTGATTGCTGAATAAAAGTATTAATTTCTTTTAAAACAAATTGTAATAAATAAATCATACAGACCCCAGAACTTTGAATGATCGTGTATGTAATTAAATTATTAATAATTTTCGAAAATAAAAGAATTGTTAGGGCAAGCAACAATCTGAACTACCTGACTGTGTCAGTGAACAAAAAATATATTCATTGTTGAGCCCTACTTCTTTTGATTCTCTGGAGCTTGTATAAACTAGATAAATAGATTTTGACTTGACTAAACTTTAACTGTCATATCTGTTCATCACTGCAAAGAGACAAAATGTAAGCATTTTAGGTGGTCCTGCGAGGCCTGAGCACCTGTCTGATACAATAGCCTGAGCCTTACACTGTGTACCGCACACATACAGCCTCTGGCTACTCACTCTGACAGAGGAAGTGATGTGTGTGCATTCCGTTGTGATGACCCGTCCTCACAGGAAGAGCAGGTACTTCATCTTGATCATGTTGACCTGCTGGGTGGCTGTTTGCAGAACACTATGCACTGCTGTGTGCATTCAACTGTAGGACTTTTTAACTGAATAAAAACTTGTGCTCATAGTATGTCATTCAGTTTTTACATTGCATATTCTTTTTATCCTTTTGACACATATTCAAGGTTATTTCACTGTTAATTTAGGGTCTTTATACTCGTATATCTCATATATAAAGGAATAGTTCACCCAAAAATGAAAATTTGCTGAAACTTTACTCACCCTCAGACTATCCAAGATGTAGAAGAGTTTGTTTCTTCATCAGAACAAACTTGGAGAATTGAGCATTGCATCACTTGCTCACCAATGGATCCTCTGCAGTGAATGGGTGCCGTCAGAATGAGAGTCCAAACAGTCCATCCCAATAATCCACAAGTAATCCACACCACTCCAGTCCATCAGTTAATGTCTTATGAAGTGAAAATCTGTGTGTTTGTAAGAAACAAAACCATCATTGAGATGTTTTTTAACTTCAAACCGTCACTTCCGGCAAAAATGTGAGTTCTCTATCCATAATATTGCTTTCTCCAGTGAAAAACTCATACTGCTCAAGTACTGCTTGCAAGTGAAAACAGTCCATAACAGTTCTAAATGAATATATTGGTGGATTTTGATGTGAGAGGACAACAGGCCAGAAGAGACGGTTTGAGATAAAACGTCTTAATGATGAATTTGTTTCTTACAAACATGCAGCTTTTCACTTTAAAAGATGTTAATTGATAGTGGTGTGGATTACTTGTGGATTATTGTGATGTTTTTATCAGCTGTTTGGACTCTTGTTCTGACGGCACCCATTCACTGCAGAGGATCCACTGGTGAGCAAGTGATGTTATGCTACATTTCACCAAATCTGTTCCGATGAAGAAACAAACTCATCTACATATTGGATGGCCTGAGGGTGAGTAAATTCAAAGCAAATTATTATTTTTTGGTGAACTATTCCTTTATGTATGTACAATTATGATAAATATTTCTGATAACACTAACTTGGGCATGGATTTTAAGCCTGGATTTTTTTCATTTGAAAAGTATTAGCACACCTCGTCAGTGAGCTGCATGATATCTATTATGTCTGTAGCACTGTGTGTTACTTACCAATCTTTAAAACTTAGGGTCAGGGGTTTGATCATGTTTCACATGTAAGTCATACATGTATGTTTATGTCTAGTGGAGATGAGATATGGACATCTTTGTATAATTGCTAACAGGGTGTTTATGTCACGGTACAATAATGTTCAGTTCTATATCCGGAGCTGATTATATGGCCACATCTGGATTCATCATCATCTGTTGTCAATAACACCAGCGATAAGTCTTTCACACCATCTCATAACAGACCTCAAACAGCCAGCCATCTGGATGTGTGTATGTGAGTGTGCTTGTGTGCATTATGTCCTTGGTTGGTTGTATTAACATTCATAAATTTGTCAGGGAAACATTGATAAACTATATTGGTGGCATTGAAATACTTCAGTCATTAATTTTAATTGCTGTCCAGCCAGCTTTGTCGTTGTGGCCAAGCGGCCTAAATAAATGTTCTTTATATCCTAACAAGTTTCCTTCTGTAATTATACAACTCATACTAATACTGTACTATATATGATTTATGATTTTCTCCTGGCAGATGATCAAACAAGTGGAAAATATTGTAGACTTACATGGAAGAAAGAGTCGGAGCCATAAAATAATAGAGAATAGGGCTATTTTTACAAAGCTACTTGGTGTATATATACATATATATATATATATATATAACAGGGTGTTTTAATATGCATTGCTAAGAACTTCATTTGGACAACTTTAAAGGCGATTTTCTCAATATTAATTTTTTTTATTTCAGATTCCAGATTTTCAAATAGTTATATCTCGGCCAAATATTGTCCTGTTCTAACAAACCATACATCGATAGAAAGCTTATTTATTCAGCTTTCAGATGATGTATAAATCTCAATTTTAAAAAAATTTACCCTTATGACTGGTTTTGTGATCCAGGGACACGCACAAACACACACTCTCTCTATATACTATTTTGTGTGTGTGTGTGTGTGTGTGTGTGTGTAAAATATATATTAGAATATGAGGAAAGCTGCAAAAACAATACATCTTCACTGTCATTCATATACAGTTAGATTGAGTTCATTTGTTTGCCACTGTGAACTGAACCCATGCTTTTTCATCTAGGTATTTTTCATACTTTGAAGATAAGTTTCATCCGACTAGCTTCTTTTTGGCAGGAAGGTCCGAACATGCCCGCCGTTTCACCTCATCCTAAATGGCGATGATTCTCATTTTACGTAATGCCATGGGACAGCTTCTAGTGAAGCTATGTAGACTGTAGCACAAGTCTCCAGTGTGCACTAAAGGGAATGCTGCCTGTGCATGGACTACTAGTCCACAGGCCCAGGGCCAGCACAAAGCCACGCTTCATCCCTGAGCTCTGCCACACATGAGTGCTTAAAGAAAGCTGCCCTCCAGGAATCCATAGCCCTGTGGAGGCTGCAGATAAGGCCGTGCGTATGTGCACTTCGGAAGAGCTCACGTTACACGCTGAAACCCTTGCCACCCAGGAACTGTTACCATATGAAAGCAGACTGTTTTGAAAGGAGAACACCGCCTGGCTCGGCTCTTTGTGTCAGCGCGATAACACCGGCTATGCCAGACGGAACGTGTTAAATTGTCTCTATCACAGCTAATGAGTTTGAGGTCAGTGGCTGAGGATTTCTTAGACCACCTCCGCAAGCCACACAGAAAGGCTGTGATCCAAAGCAATTTACTGGAGGTTTGTGTATGTTGTGGCAATCGGATGGTTTGTGTGTGGGGTGTAACTTGATGTGTGTCACATTTGGGTTTTGGTCTGTCTTGTTTGTCCACGCGTGTCACGCTCGAGCAGTAATTTGACAGTGATTACTACATCACTCATAGAAGATGCTATTTGAACATGAAACATGGTCTGACATGTTCATTTTTCTCACAGCATTTCACCAATGGAAGGAATGTATTTGGACGGATGAGGTGTTTCTCCCTGTAGGAAAGAAATAGGAGATCTTTTTAATATGACTAATGTTTTTCCTTGACGGCAGCGAGATGTCAATTTTAGATGTTTGTCTTCAGAAAAAAGGCCTAATCTAACATATCTCCCCTCCTGGGTCTGGTGAATATTTTTTTGTAAATCTGTCTGAATGGGTCGATTCACTAGAATCCAACGCTGCATGAGTGATACGCGTGCGGTAAATGGTAATTATGTGAAATTACAGCTTGCTTCATACTTTTCTGTACCTCTCTGCAGAGGAGCTGGAAGCAGAAGATGCCACGCTGGTCGATACATGTACCATGAGGAGCACAGGAGAGCTACGCTAAAGACAGACGGGAGAAAACAGTTCACCTGGACACATTTCACAGGTAAACATACTCTTTTTTTCCTCTTTAGCACAAGATTACCTGTGTAAAGCACAGATATAAACCTATTTTCAGTTTTAAAAAGTCAAAGCTATGCCATGCTAGTTTGCGGAGGTTCAGGTTGTGCTGCTGATACACATGTATGAGGGATTTCTACTGCTTGAATAGCTGTCAAAGAATAGCTGTCAATTAATGCTATATAGTCCTGGCTCCCAGATTCAACAAAAAGTACCAAAAAGTCCATTGGACAGTAATTTGGATACGGTACCATGGTACTACATAGTTTTGGAGTGTACAGCTAATGCTAAAGAATTACAGTGAAATTTGTATAGTTTATAGATATGGTAATCATTCTGTATTATGGTATATACCAAATGCCATGGTATTACCAATCTGATATCACTGTACTACAATAATGTCAAAATATCCAGTTGAAGAGACTATAAAACATTCTCTTGTTGAGTATTTTTGTTAAAATATTTATTATATTAGATAATCAATTCATAACTAGGTTTCATATATATACACTAACACAGAAGATTAAAAATAATGTAGATTAGGTGTGATCATATGACCAATATTATTATCTAAAATATTTTAGTATTAAGTATTTTAATATAAATATGATTCTTTTAAATATATAAATCAGCTAGTATTATGTAAGTAGATAATACTCTTGTTTTACAGAATGAAACAGTAAACGTTTGACTATGCAGTTAGAAAAAATACTAACAGTTATTCTGTTGTATATTATAATGTTCTGATGCCTGATTACACTACTTCAAAAGAAAAAGAAATGAAAAAAAAAAATTGGAGCTTTATTGAGCTTTTTCAGATTTCAACCATCATATTGTTTAACTACCATTCTTTGGCTGTATACAGCCAAAGTGTCTGTGCAGAAGAAAAACTAAAGAAATCTGGCATCATATTTGTTTGTATGTTATTCTGTGTGATGATAGCTAACGTTAATCTATGCCGTACTCAGGTCACATTGAGCCCATGCGGTGGTCCATGCTAGCCCTGCTGCTCTTGTTCTGCAGCCAGATGTTTGCCCAGTGCCCAGGTGACATCTGTCCACAAAACACCGACCACGGACAGCATGATGTCACGGCCAACCCTGTGCCGACTGTGGATCCTAAACTCTTCAACAAGAGACGGTACCGCTCACCCCACGTTCTGTTCAGCGAACAACCCCCCGACTCAGAGCCCGCTGGGCACCAGACGAGGAGCAGAGCGAAGAGAAAAGCAGGAGCACCTCAACACCGCGGAGTTTACTCCGTCTGCGAGAGCGTTAGCACTTGGGAGGGAAATAAAACCAAAGCTACAGACATCTCGGGCAACGAGGTCACCGTCTTGCCCGACGTAATCATCAACAATTCCAAGAAAAAGCAGTACTTTTTTGAGACGACGTGCAGCAGCGGGCGAACCGGAGGATCCGGGTGTTTGGGAATCGATGCACGCCATTGGAACTCGTACTGTACCAATTCACACACGTTTGTGCGAGCGCTGACTTCATTCAAGAACCTGGTGGCGTGGAGACTCATAAGGATCGATGTAGCTTGTGTGTGTGTGCTGAGTCGAAAGTCTTGGAGACAGTAACAAACTGGCTGCTTTTCAACACGCCAGCGCCGGCCTTATGATATCAAACTCATAATCCTCTATGTGATGGTGGACATTTTCCTTGTGCAAACCATTAATGACAACTTCTGACATAAAACAGACCATCTAAGGAGGATAAATATGATGTGTTTTTGTCATAGGACACTACAATGGACTTTTTTCAGTTATTTTTTATGCATTTCTGTCTTAAGATAATTGTTTTCATTTGCAGCATTACGAGAACATGTACATACATTGTTGTGTGTGGTAATTGTTATTTATTAAACCGCATCATTATTGTCTAGTTGATTTTGTGCATATTAGGAGATGAGGTCATTTTAAATGAACATTTTGTGTTAAATACAACTTAAAATTAAAAGTCTGTCATCATTTACTCACACTTGAAATCCTCAGTCTCTGTTCATTACAATTGCATTGACCTTTTGTCATATTCTTGGTTCTGTAGAAGAAATAAAGTCATACGGGTTTGGAACGACATGAGAGTGAGTAAATGATGACAGAAATTTCACTTTTGGATGAACTTATTGTCAATGTGACTTTAAAAGTAACCTAATTTACCAACTAACACGTGTTCCTGGTATTATTGATTGGTGCACATTATTCCAAAGAAAAAAAATGACTGAATGACTTTTATTTCTGGCTTATGTCACTAAGCCCCTCCAACCACTTGTCAACAAATTTCCACAGACAGCTTGTCAGTCAGTCACCAATGGTTTAAAAAGTCCTGGGCCCAGTTGCAAGAAGTGTATTGTCAAGGGTTTTCTTAACCTTAGGGACTTCTTGCAGACGTCTACTGTGTTCTTGTTAAATATCTTGACTCTGAAATATATCATCTTATCAAATTAAAATTGTTTGGAAATGGTAAAACAAATCTGTTTCATGTTGACCTAAGCTCTTTCGACAGCATTTGTGCTGTTGGTTGCCACAGAAAATAATTTGACATGAAAAATAAATATGAAAAAAAAAAAAAGTTGTCGTTTTTTCCACAGTGCACTTACTGAAGTCTAGTAGCCAAGCATGCAGTAATATGAATAAATACTTACAAGGATAGTTCACCCAAAAAATGAAAATTCAGTCATTATTTAGTTACACTGGATTTATTCTAATGCTGTATGACCTTCTTTGGAGAGGAAAAAACACCCAAACGTTGCATGTTAGCATGAAACACTAAATGGTTTAACAGAATTGCTTATCAACCAACTTAAAAAAGTTTAACCCAGTTACCTTCACTTGGTATTTGCTCAAGAATACCAGTTAAAAACATAGAAGGAAACCAGAAAAATAGATCAATTTTACAGGTCAAATAAACTTAAGTTATAACATAAGTGACCTTTATTTTTTTGCTTTTAAATGCTGGCCCACTAGGCATCCAATGTAATTGCATTACTATAAATATTTCACATTGTCCAGATTATTTTCTGTGGCCATCGACAGCATGCCATACTGTTGACAGAGCCAAATCAAGAATATTCCTTTAAATATTTTCCATTGTGCTGTAAGCCCAAAAAAGCCATTGAACTTTACAGAACAGCCTCAGTTTAAGCTTTCGGGAATTAGTTGGCTTTTTTCTGGGTTTGATGTTAAAAAAAGCCGTGACTCAGACACGACCTCCAGCCATGTGGCAGAAAAACTAAACGGTCAGGGCAAATTTTGTCAGACACTTTAAATAAGCCGGAAAGTTTGTTGAAACTGTTGGTGGGACCGACCTCACATCTCAACAGATGTGCCTCACACACATGGAAACGGACCTACGCTGGAATGCATTAGACGTTCCCCTTCCAGACTAGAGGCTTCCACGTGATGCCTAGAGAACTGGCCTTGAGAGTGAAAATCGTTAAAAAGCAATTCTAACAACCACAAACAGGTGTGTCACTCCAATCAGACTTTGAATACATTTGTTTAGGCAGCATGTGGAAGTCTTAAAAAACAGATGGACCGCGGCCTGTGAGACCCACCTCAGGTTTGATTGTGTAAACAGAGGGAGATCACATGCCAAAGGTCAGGTCCACGGCCACATGATGAGGTCATGTCTGGAAGCCTGAAAGCCACAGGTCTGCAAGATCAGACGTCAAAGTTCGAATGGAATAATCAACAGGATTGTTAGGTTTATGTCACATAACCCACCATGAGGTCCTTCATCAGCACTTGTTTGTTTAGCGATATAGTGCGGGTCAAGTAAAAAGGTCATCATTTCAAACAAAGTCACTTTCACACAACCATTTGCTCTCATTAGAAGAGGATGTTTTGTGGTCAACAGTTATTTCAAACAACTCTACTCAGATGAAGAATGAGAGAGAATTTTCCTCACGCTCATGTTAATGGAACAAACAAGCGTGTCTCTAATTGTTTGTAGGACAGCTCCCTATGGAGAGTCTGCTGTGACAAATCCAAGAGAGCCCCTTTTTGTTTAATTCACAAAGAATATTAACGAGATTAATGAACTGTGGATGGTACTGACACACCGTGGAGATTTCAAACAAGGCTACGGCCGCCTCTCCGTGTGAGTACTACAAGGATTTATCGTCTTCAGAAAGGCTGAAGATTCCCTAATTACATTCACATAAAAGTCTCAATGTCTTAATCGAGAGATCACAGTGAATTAAGGTATCTAAAGCGATAAGGTGTACAGTAAATAGCGTGGACGGACCAGGCCCAATTCAAAAACAAACAACAGTCGCCCTCTAGTGGTTAAATCCCAAATCTACAATGGATGAGGGCATTGGGCTATTTAATGTTGCCATTCTCTTCTGTTATAGTATGAATGAGTGCTTTGTTTTTGTTTTTTTTTGGCAAAAATAAGATTCTTGATGTCATGTCACTCAATTTTACTTACCGTTTGGACCGTTGTTGTACAATATTGACAGTTCACGTGCTTGTAGTATACATATTTTATCACTAGAGAGCGCACTGCTATTACAACCTATGTTGTTTAAATTAACGAAACATAATTAATTGCTCATATACTAAATATATTAAATATCACATGTCCTGATTTTATTGCAGCTTTATAGAAGGCCGTTCATTCAAGTTTACTTGATTCATAGGAAAACATTTTCTTGACTAAACCTGAGATAACAATTTACCATTTTTTAAAATAGCATTTCCACTTTGAAATTAATCAGAGATGACCACAATAATTCCCTTAATAAAAATAAAAATAAAACAATTATAAAATAAAGAAATAGCCTATATAAAACAAAGAAATATAAAACATTACTATATGTCGGTGTAATTTTAAAATATTTATTCTTCTTCTTTTTAGATTCATATCAGTGTCTATATCCTAAATAAGTCTACACTGTGTTCTGTATGTATTTGAAAACCATATTCAGATCTTGCTGGCTGTATAATCATGAACTCAGATGATGGTCAAAGCCGGTAGGGTTACTCAAACATTATGTTTTATAAACCTAGCTGGTCATTGTACTTTGAGAGATAGGTTGATCTCTTCTTTGTTTGGTGCAACTTGTGTTTTGACATCATTGTATTAAAGCATTTTAAAGTTTATACAAAACAGTTAAGGTCAAAGACGACTACCAAAGTAAATATAGCCTAACTATATAATTTATGTATAATATAGAGGCTTGGTTTTACATGAAAAATTCACAAACACTTATGGGTTTGAATAAATATAGTAAAACGACAGTCTCTCCTGAAAATGTGAGAAAGATTATCTCAAGATTATCTCAGAGTGTCCTGAGTTTGACCTCAAACCGGCAGACAATGGCATCCTCTCACCAATGAGATGACAGTGATTGTGACTGATGTATTGTGTAGTGAGACAAACTTTATGAAAGAGACTCAATAATGAATACCCTGAATGTCTGACCACATCATGAAGGCGTTGTAAATTACAACCTAGGTTCAAACATAATGTCTGAAAGCAATTCTGAAAACTGGAAAACAATGTATTTTGTGTGTACATGTGCAGATCTCATCTTTCTAAAAAACAACAACAACAACAACAACAAAAACTTTATACATATGTATTTTCATGTTAAAATATTAAAATTACTATAAACTTTTTAATATTTTAACATGAAAATACATGTTAAAATATGAAAAAGTTTATATTAAAATTATAATGTAATATTACAATAATTATAATTGTAATATATATATATATATATATATATATATAATAGGATTTTAAAAATAGGCCTATCTATATATATAGATATTAAAATCTATTGATTTTAAAATATAGATTTTAAAATCCTATTCATTATAATTATTTCTGATTATTTTCTCATTTTTAAATTCACAACAAAATTAAATCTGGTCATTTCATTTTTTAAATGGGCATCTATCTATCTATCTATCTATCTATCTATCGTTATTGTAGACACAGAGGTCTAAGGAAAACGCGGGAAATTGCCCACGCCCCCCCATGTCCTGCTGGACCAATGGGCGGTGCTGATCCGCGCGCGCTCTCTCTCTCTCTCTCACACACACACACACACACAGGCGAAGTGCGGCACTGGTGTTGACGGTCAGTGAGTGGATTCTGTTTGAATAATATTCCTGACCTACATCTCTGAGACAGGCCTGCACATCTGCGCAAACATTTTGGTCGAAACGGCGAGCGCGCGGAACGAAACGGCAGGCAGGATGAGCAAAGTCCAGGGCGGCATGAAATGTGTCAAATACCTGCTGTTCGTCTTCAACTTCATATTCTGGGTAAGTGCTGATGATATCTGAGTGATGATGCCACGGATGCATGCTTTGATTTAGAGTGAAATGCACGAAAGTAAATGTATGTGCATTTGTTGTCACCTGTTTGTCCTGGAGTTGCTCAACATTTGTATGATGCTCTTTCTGTTTTAACGCGAAAATGTGTCATTGTGCAGCTTTCTGTGGACTCTGGGATGCAGATGATTTTGTAAAGTACAAGTATGTGACAGATGTCGGCCGTGTCTCAAATCTAGTGAGCTTCCTACCTGGACAACACGTCTGAGCATCATAGGGACGTGCTGACATTTTGAGCATCGTACGTGCATCAAGCGCCTGTGATGCTCAATGTCTACTAGATAGACAGCCACCGTGTACCTTTGTTTTAGAGGAAGTCTGCATTTTTATTAATATACTTTCCATTGGTTATTAATATAGGGGAGAATGGGGCTGGTTGTCACGCTTTTTTTTTTTCCCCTCGAGTGAATATTTTTAGCGAGGATTTGAGACCATTTGCAGCATTACGAGAACATGTACATACATTGTTGTGTGTGGTAATTGTTATTTATTAAACCGCATCATTATTGTCTAGTTGATTTTGTGCATATTAGGAGATGAGGTCATTTTAAATGAACATTTTGTGTTAAATACAACTTAAAATTAAAAGTCTGTCATCATTTACTCACACTTGAAATCCTCAGTCTCTGTTCATTACAATTGCATTGACCTTTTGTCATATTCTTGGTTCTGTAGAAGAAATAAAGTCATACGGGTTTGGAACGACATGAGAGTGAGTAAATGATGACAGAAATTTCACTTTTGGATGAACTTATTGTCAATGTGACTTTAAAAGTAACCTAATTTACCAACTAACACGTGTTCCTGGTATTATTGATTGGTGCACATTATTCCAAAGAAAAAAAATGACTGAATGACTTTTATTTCTGGCTTATGTCACTAAGCCCCTCCAACCACTTGTCAACAAATTTCCACAGACAGCTTGTCAGTCAGTCACCAATGGTTTAAAAAGTCCTGGGCCCAGTTGCAAGAAGTGTATTGTCAAGGGTTTTCTTAACCTTAGGGACTTCTTGCAGACGTCTACTGTGTTCTTGTTAAATATCTTGACTCTGAAATATATCATCTTATCAAATTAAAATTGTTTGGAAATGGTAAAACAAATCTGTTTCATGTTGACCTAAGCTCTTTCGACAGCATTTGTGCTGTTGGTTGCCACAGAAAATAATTTGACATGAAAAATAAATATGAAAAAAAAAAAAAGTTGTCGTTTTTTCCACAGTGCACTTACTGAAGTCTAGTAGCCAAGCATGCAGTAATATGAATAAATACTTACAAGGATAGTTCACCCAAAAAATGAAAATTCAGTCATTATTTAGTTACACTGGATTTATTCTAATGCTGTATGACCTTCTTTGGAGAGGAAAAAACACCCAAACGTTGCATGTTAGCATGAAACACTAAATGGTTTAACAGAATTGCTTATCAACCAACTTAAAAAAGTTTAACCCAGTTACCTTCACTTGGTATTTGCTCAAGAATACCAGTTAAAAACATAGAAGGAAACCAGAAAAATAGATCAATTTTACAGGTCAAATAAACTTAAGTTATAACATAAGTGACCTTTATTTTTTTGCTTTTAAATGCTGGCCCACTAGGCATCCAATGTAATTGCATTACTATAAATATTTCACATTGTCCAGATTATTTTCTGTGGCCATCGACAGCATGCCATACTGTTGACAGAGCCAAATCAAGAATATTCCTTTAAATATTTTCCATTGTGCTGTAAGCCCAAAAAAGCCATTGAACTTTACAGAACAGCCTCAGTTTAAGCTTTCGGGAATTAGTTGGCTTTTTTCTGGGTTTGATGTTAAAAAAAGCCGTGACTCAGACACGACCTCCAGCCATGTGGCAGAAAAACTAAACGGTCAGGGCAAATTTTGTCAGACACTTTAAATAAGCCGGAAAGTTTGTTGAAACTGTTGGTGGGACCGACCTCACATCTCAACAGATGTGCCTCACACACATGGAAACGGACCTACGCTGGAATGCATTAGACGTTCCCCTTCCAGACTAGAGGCTTCCACGTGATGCCTAGAGAACTGGCCTTGAGAGTGAAAATCGTTAAAAAGCAATTCTAACAACCACAAACAGGTGTGTCACTCCAATCAGACTTTGAATACATTTGTTTAGGCAGCATGTGGAAGTCTTAAAAAACAGATGGACCGCGGCCTGTGAGACCCACCTCAGGTTTGATTGTGTAAACAGAGGGAGATCACATGCCAAAGGTCAGGTCCACGGCCACATGATGAGGTCATGTCTGGAAGCCTGAAAGCCACAGGTCTGCAAGATCAGACGTCAAAGTTCGAATGGAATAATCAACAGGATTGTTAGGTTTATGTCACATAACCCACCATGAGGTCCTTCATCAGCACTTGTTTGTTTAGCGATATAGTGCGGGTCAAGTAAAAAGGTCATCATTTCAAACAAAGTCACTTTCACACAACCATTTGCTCTCATTAGAAGAGGATGTTTTGTGGTCAACAGTTATTTCAAACAACTCTACTCAGATGAAGAATGAGAGAGAATTTTCCTCACGCTCATGTTAATGGAACAAACAAGCGTGTCTCTAATTGTTTGTAGGACAGCTCCCTATGGAGAGTCTGCTGTGACAAATCCAAGAGAGCCCCTTTTTGTTTAATTCACAAAGAATATTAACGAGATTAATGAACTGTGGATGGTACTGACACACCGTGGAGATTTCAAACAAGGCTACGGCCGCCTCTCCGTGTGAGTACTACAAGGATTTATCGTCTTCAGAAAGGCTGAAGATTCCCTAATTACATTCACATAAAAGTCTCAATGTCTTAATCGAGAGATCACAGTGAATTAAGGTATCTAAAGCGATAAGGTGTACAGTAAATAGCGTGGACGGACCAGGCCCAATTCAAAAACAAACAACAGTCGCCCTCTAGTGGTTAAATCCCAAATCTACAATGGATGAGGGCATTGGGCTATTTAATGTTGCCATTCTCTTCTGTTATAGTATGAATGAGTGCTTTGTTTTTGTTTTTTTTTGGCAAAAATAAGATTCTTGATGTCATGTCACTCAATTTTACTTACCGTTTGGACCGTTGTTGTACAATATTGACAGTTCACGTGCTTGTAGTATACATATTTTATCACTAGAGAGCGCACTGCTATTACAACCTATGTTGTTTAAATTAACGAAACATAATTAATTGCTCATATACTAAATATATTAAATATCACATGTCCTGATTTTATTGCAGCTTTATAGAAGGCCGTTCATTCAAGTTTACTTGATTCATAGGAAAACATTTTCTTGACTAAACCTGAGATAACAATTTACCATTTTTTAAAATAGCATTTCCACTTTGAAATTAATCAGAGATGACCACAATAATTCCCTTAATAAAAATAAAAATAAAACAATTATAAAATAAAGAAATAGCCTATATAAAACAAAGAAATATAAAACATTACTATATGTCGGTGTAATTTTAAAATATTTATTCTTCTTCTTTTTAGATTCATATCAGTGTCTATATCCTAAATAAGTCTACACTGTGTTCTGTATGTATTTGAAAACCATATTCAGATCTTGCTGGCTGTATAATCATGAACTCAGATGATGGTCAAAGCCGGTAGGGTTACTCAAACATTATGTTTTATAAACCTAGCTGGTCATTGTACTTTGAGAGATAGGTTGATCTCTTCTTTGTTTGGTGCAACTTGTGTTTTGACATCATTGTATTAAAGCATTTTAAAGTTTATACAAAACAGTTAAGGTCAAAGACGACTACCAAAGTAAATATAGCCTAACTATATAATTTATGTATAATATAGAGGCTTGGTTTTACATGAAAAATTCACAAACACTTATGGGTTTGAATAAATATAGTAAAACGACAGTCTCTCCTGAAAATGTGAGAAAGATTATCTCAAGATTATCTCAGAGTGTCCTGAGTTTGACCTCAAACCGGCAGACAATGGCATCCTCTCACCAATGAGATGACAGTGATTGTGACTGATGTATTGTGTAGTGAGACAAACTTTATGAAAGAGACTCAATAATGAATACCCTGAATGTCTGACCACATCATGAAGGCGTTGTAAATTACAACCTAGGTTCAAACATAATGTCTGAAAGCAATTCTGAAAACTGGAAAACAATGTATTTTGTGTGTACATGTGCAGATCTCATCTTTCTAAAAAACAACAACAACAACAACAACAAAAACTTTATACATATGTATTTTCATGTTAAAATATTAAAATTACTATAAACTTTTTAATATTTTAACATGAAAATACATGTTAAAATATGAAAAAGTTTATATTAAAATTATAATGTAATATTACAATAATTATAATTGTAATATATATATATATATATATATATATATAATAGGATTTTAAAAATAGGCCTATCTATATATATAGATATTAAAATCTATTGATTTTAAAATATAGATTTTAAAATCCTATTCATTATAATTATTTCTGATTATTTTCTCATTTTTAAATTCACAACAAAATTAAATCTGGTCATTTCATTTTTTAAATGGGCATCTATCTATCTATCTATCTATCTATCTATCGTTATTGTAGACACAGAGGTCTAAGGAAAACGCGGGAAATTGCCCACGCCCCCCCATGTCCTGCTGGACCAATGGGCGGTGCTGATCCGCGCGCGCTCTCTCTCTCTCTCTCACACACACACACACACACAGGCGAAGTGCGGCACTGGTGTTGACGGTCAGTGAGTGGATTCTGTTTGAATAATATTCCTGACCTACATCTCTGAGACAGGCCTGCACATCTGCGCAAACATTTTGGTCGAAACGGCGAGCGCGCGGAACGAAACGGCAGGCAGGATGAGCAAAGTCCAGGGCGGCATGAAATGTGTCAAATACCTGCTGTTCGTCTTCAACTTCATATTCTGGGTAAGTGCTGATGATATCTGAGTGATGATGCCACGGATGCATGCTTTGATTTAGAGTGAAATGCACGAAAGTAAATGTATGTGCATTTGTTGTCACCTGTTTGTCCTGGAGTTGCTCAACATTTGTATGATGCTCTTTCTGTTTTAACGCGAAAATGTGTCATTGTGCAGCTTTCTGTGGACTCTGGGATGCAGATGATTTTGTAAAGTACAAGTATGTGACAGATGTCGGCCGTGTCTCAAATCTAGTGAGCTTCCTACCTGGACAACACGTCTGAGCATCATAGGGACGTGCTGACATTTTGAGCATCGTACGTGCATCAAGCGCCTGTGATGCTCAATGTCTACTAGATAGACAGCCACCGTGTACCTTTGTTTTAGAGGAAGTCTGCATTTTTATTAATATACTTTCCATTGGTTATTAATATAGGGGAGAATGGGGCTGGTTGTCACGCTTTTTTTTTTTCCCCTCGAGTGAATATTTTTAGCGAGGATTTGAGACAGACGCCGGGGACAATGGGAAGTTTAAAATGCAAAAAGAACACCGTATTTAAAAAAACAACAACAAAAAAACAACAACAACACTCTCTCACACACACACACACACACACACACACACACACACACACACACATATATATACAGGGTGCGATTTGTGAAAAAAACAGAGTGGGGGATGCTTTTGAAAACATTTTTCTCTCTCCATAGGTGGAAGGTAAGGGGAAGGCTGTAGCATAAGTAACCTAATGTTAGTGTAATCCGTTAATAACGCACATCATAAACCCGTCTTTTTAGGCAAGTACCATATAATGGGTGTCATGTCATGTCGTATTTTAATACTACAGGAACTGTATTTAACGTGATCACAATCTATTAAAAATATTGTAAGTTAGGTATTGTGTATATAAATATTGTATGATTTCATTTCCACAGTTATTCAAGCGACGAATAAATTATATAGAGAAAGCGAGCAAAGAACTCTGAGCTTTTTGAAACTCTGAATCAGTTAAACCATTGAGTCGCAAAATGATTCACTGGCTACGTTTACATGCAGCCAAATAATCCGTTTGTAATCGGATTGACGGCTCAATCGGACTGAAAAGCCTTCATGTAAACACCTTTAATCGATCCGATTGAGCTCGATCGGAATGAAATCTCGATCGGATTGAAGGGGGTGGTTTATTTACGTTTATATATTAAATATATTTATACATTATATAAATTATATTAATATAAATATATACATATACATGTAGATACATGTAAATATTTTCAAAATATATACTGTATGTGTGTGTATTTATATATACATAATAAATATACACAGTACACCACTGTTTCTCAACCAGTGGGTCGCGGATCATTCTATAGGGGGTCACGAGACTTTCTCTGTGTTCTCGGTGTTACACCGGCACAGCCAGTAAGTGCACTTCACAAAAGGCTCATTGAAACAGTGACCTCCAACGAATCGTATTTTCGAATGTCGCATGTTGAATCATTATTGCCGTAACTTTCTAACGCTGTTTCTAAACTGTCCTGTCACAATAATTTATCGCTGCCGCGAACGTCTCTTATTGGACAAGGTCCTACTCTCTTTACGTAATGTTACACACGCTAGCAGCTGTTTACCCCGTTGCTTGGTAACGACGGCGCAGGAGATTGCAATGCATTGCTATGCCAGGCCTACTATATGCAGCCACGGCCTGTTAGCTTGACAAAATGCATCCGTATTTTAAAAGGAAAAAAAGCAGAAGATTCAGAAACTCCTTCCACTTCAAAGGCAAAGTCCGATTGAACCAAAAATTGTGCATGTAAACGTAGCCACTGTTTCGAAGCGCTCCAATCGGATCACGTATCGCGAATCATTTGATTCAAAACGGTACTGTTGACTGTATGTTATTTTTATTGTTGTTAATTTTTAAAAATTTTATTCAGCAGAGGCAGGGATGGATAAACCAGAGGGGGGGATATATATATATA